TATATAAATTATCAGCTATAAATTAAATTTGATAAAAATTTATTAATAATATTATAAGTGGAAAAGTTATGGAAGTACTTTGAACGGTTTGATTTTTTAAAGTATATTGTATTTTTTAGTAAATTGTGAAAATATACCTTTTCTATTAGGAGTTCACCAATATAGCACAATATAAATATGTTAAATGTCAGAGATATTAGTAACATTGTATATGTCGTAAGACTGATGGTATTACTCTGTTCCCAATCCTGTTATGAACAAGCAATCATGAATATAATAGGATATTATAACGAAAATAAAAAGAAACGCACCGTTATACAATAATATTCGAGTAGACATATCATAAAGGTGGATCCAATGAATTCTAGGAAACATACTTCTTGTAGCACCATTTCTACTGCTGCCGAAAATCTATAATCGGTTATAATACAATATCATGTATTATTTTTATACTCACTGACATGTATAAAGACTTCTTTATATCAATTATATTATGTATATTAATATTAATACATTTATCACTTGTTTGTACCTTAAAATTCTCAAATGACGTTCAACAATTTCTATCAATCGCGTATTTAAATTAAGCGTTTCTTTCATATATTCGCCACGGACAAGATCATTCAATCGAGATATAATGATGTCGATTTGCCCACAGGTGTGTGTTGCGAAAAGAGCGGCTAATCCACAAGCACCGGCAGTTATGGAATACATCACGTATCCGCACATGCAGTGAATAACGTACACTAGATCGTAAATGGGGCTACTCTGAACGTCGTACAACGCGCTATATGTAGGATATACCAGAGGTTTGATTGTACGATTATGTTCATCGACAAACGTGCCGATCGCGTACTGTAAAATCGAGTGATAGATTGTTCCGCCGGTGTACATGAATACGGCGCAGATTATTGTCAGATTTCGACCCATTCGCCCGTATTTCAACATTATTTCGCGATCCTTATGTAGTTCCACCTGCCAGTAGGGACGTCCCCTTAACGAAACACTAAACCGTTTAACTTCAATGAAATATAAAATATGAAACTTATGTAGTAGAGATATTAGAATTTATTCATCGTTCCGAAGATATGGAAAATTTCAAAGTCAAGAGTTTTCTCTGACGCGTTCACGCGTTGTCGATCATCGATGATAACCATATGATGATTGTATGTATACACGATAAAGAAAATACGTATATCACGCAATACGTATTATATTTTGTGATACGCAACGGTATAGAAATTAATTATATATTTCATTGTTCATTTTAATTTAAAATGATACAATTCTCGTGCACGAAAAATTAGTGAAAATCAATGAGAATCGATGAACGTGTTAATTCACTGACCTGTTCCCAGTCAATGCACACCTGTTCGATGCAGCCTTTGATCCTCGGTTTGCGAAGGGTGAGCGCCCAGTATTTCATCAACGAAGTACAACAGAAACTTAGTAAACCGGATAATTTTAATCTCATTATAGTATCTTTTTCTTCGAATATGATATGCAGAATGCATGGAATAATGGCGAAGAGTAACACAAAATTACTGAGTGCAATTGCGATTTTTGGCAGAAGTTTTTTCACATCTCCTACTGCTGCTGGCCAAATGCCAATGGATTGCAGGATCCACTTGCTGTGTTTGGTTACATAAGCGATATCTTTCTTATAGTACAAGTTTCGCGGTGTGTAATCACACTTATGTTGCATAGAGAGTTGCATATTCGCGGATAGCTCGAAAACAACTGTTTACGATAGTTCGGTAGCATTGATTGAAAGTTGAGCTTGCGCTCGTGATATTGTGTGCGTGCATCTCTTTCATTACTTTGAAATCGATTACCATCAGAGAAGGGGACGTTTGAAATTATAGCGAAGCTATAGTATAACTTTCTGTCTAGACGTGAGCGGAGAGAGTTGGAGAATAAGTGCACAACGATTAAGTACTTGTGGTGTTAAGAAAGAGTATAGCGTATACGTTTGTGGCAAATAGTAATATTTAAATACGTGGGTAAGTAACTCATAAATAAAACACTTTGGAATTTGTATGTGGTTTCTTTCGTCACTTAATACGCAGAAAATATTTCTAAATGTAATAGACATAACAATTTGCGTGGCTGAAATTAAATAGCAATGATAAAATGCATTATGTCTTTAGTCTGATATTTTAGTATGATTTCAGTAAATAAATATCAATATGTCGATGTTCCTCGTGATTTTTTGCCATTTGATTAAGCTACTGCGAGAACAATTATACATATACGGTTATTAAAATGCCATATATCATTATCAAACTATAAAAATAATATATTCAATGGATAACGTGTAATAATATTTGAGAATATCAAGTATTTAAACAGGACTGAATATATTTACGATATAATTTTTTATTTATCATTCTACGCCAAAATATTGGGAAATTGAACAATTATTAAATTACTACACAAGGGCGGTTCGGAGGAAATTTAAGTACGCGAATGACGTCTTTAGAACCTGTAAAGATAGAGTTACATTTAATTGTCAACAGATAAATAGCTGAAATCAATTTTGAATAGTTAGAATATTTGTAAAAAATTACACTTGCGAATGTAGACAAGGATAAATTAACTATTCTGCCGGCGCTAATTTTTGCCGGATTATTTGACATTGCGATGATCAAAACGAGGTCTTGCACTGACTTGGCTGGTAAGTGATACCAATCTATCATGCAACAGGATATTCCGACGTTAGTACTCTGTAATATAAATAATGCAAATAATAGGCAAAATTTCGTAATAAGATATTACAGATTACGAATAAAAATATAACGGAAAATACCTTTTCAATCAGCAGATCACCAATGTAGCATAGTAAAAACATATTGAACGTCAAGGATATTAACAATAACGAATATGTTGTCAGACCAATTTTATTGTTCTGTTGCCAGTCCTGTTAAAAATGTATAAATATTATAAATTAGCGGAATAAAAATAAATATAACAATACCGATAAAATGATATACGAAAATATAAATTAGGAGCAAGAAAAATGTACCGTTATACAATAGTATTCGAGCAAGCACATTACAAACGTTGTTCCAATGAATTCTAAAAAGCACACTTCTTGAAGAACCGTCTCAACCATCGCAGAGAATCTACAATAGCACTGTATGTATTTAATTAATAATAAATATCATTTTACTTCACCTCAACCTTATTTGTACTTTAAAGTTCTTATATGATGTTCAACGATTTCCATCAGTCGAACGCTCGTATTAGAATTTTCCTTGGAAAATTTTCCATCAATCAAATCATTCAGTCGAGACATAATGACATCAATCTGTCCACAGGTGTGTGTTGCGAAAAGTGCAGCCAGTCCACAAGCCCCAACTGTCACAGTGTCAAACACATACCCGCATATGCATTGGAGAACGTACACGAGTTCATAAACGGGACTCTTTTGAACGTCGTAAAGACCACTGTACGTAGGATACACCAGTAATTTGATCGTATGATTAAATTCATCGACGTACGATCCGATCGCATATTGCATGACCGTGTGATAGATTATGCCACCGCTGTACATAAACACAGCACTGTATACGGTCAGTCTTCGTCCAATCTTTCCATACTTTAGCATTAACTTGCGATCTCTTTGGTATTCTATCTGTCAATTGAAAAAATGATGCAGTTACATATATCTATATTATTAGACTACCAACATTTATGCAAATTCATATTCTTCGGAAAATTAGGATTAGAAGGCTAAGATCTAGGCAGAAGTTTGCTTCAATTTCTCACGAATATATAAAAATTCGCAATCCATTTGTCACTTTTCCACTGGGTTACACAGATATACTTGTTGCAACTGACCTGTTTCCAATCAGCATATAACTGTTCGATACAATATTCGATTTTCGGTTTGCGTATTGTCAGAGCCCAATACTTCATCAGGGAGATAAAAGAAAAGCATGTTAAGCCCAGAATCTTCAGTCTTAGCAAAGGATCTTTTTGCTCCAATACAATGTGTAGCACACACTGCACCAAGGTGAAAAACAATATTAAATTACTTAGTCCGATTGCGATTCTTGGTAAAAATTTGCCGATACCCTCCACCATAGCCGGCCAAATCCCAATGGAATTCAAAACCCATTTATTGTGTTTCGTTACGTAAATGATGTCCTCTTCGTAGTTTGGATTTCGCGACTGATCGGTCCGACTACGAGTGGAGAGACGAGTACTCGTGAACATGTCGAAAACAACTGTCCGCGACAGTCCAGGTGCATTGATTACAAGGTTGTTGAGCTTGCGCTCATGATATTGCGTGCGTGCATTTCTTGCACAACTTTAAATCGATTATTAGTTATCAATGTAGCGAATGTCTGTAATTGTAGTGAATAGCTAACTTACGATGCTATAGAATCTAACTTTCTGTCTAAACACGAGTGGAACAGGTTGCACCATAAATGCACGACGATTAAAAGCTGCTGATGTTAAGAAAACACAATATCGTTTTGTGTATAGTATGTGTGTTTATGTAAAATGACAATATATATAGGCGAGTAATTTATTAATGAAATACATTGCAATTCCTTTCCTTTTTCTTTGTTAAAAAAAGTAGTTTGAAAGCTTAATATATATTTTGTAATTTATTTACATTCTAGTACGTTACTGTTTATTTAATTTCACAATTAGTGCTAGTTAATATTAAACGATATTTTTAAATGCTGGCTTCTTTTACATGAAAATAGATCGTGACTGTTTGTTCTATGTGAACATAGTAAATTATTGTGCCTGTGATTTGATATAATATAATGTGTACATGGCGTCGAGTAATCAAAAACGATTAATAAAATATATTATCTTTACCTTAATATTTCTGCATGATATCACAATTTTATGATTTCACAAACTAATAAATTTTTATATGTTAACATTTTTAATGATATTTAATAATATTCACTGTACATATTTATCAAAATGCTATGTATCGTAATGAAAGTAAAAAAATAATGTATGTTATGTAATATATATTTATGTAGCAAGGAATGTTATTACAACATATTGCATTATTTACTATTCTACAATTGGATACATGGAAATAACCGAATAATTATTAGATTATAACACAATGGTATTCCGGACAAAATTTAAGTACGCGAATGATGTCTTCAAAATCTGCAAAGGTGAAGTTACATTCAATCTTTAATCAAATGAAAATTTAATTAAAATCTTCAAATTAATTTGTGAAAGCTATTTGTAAAAACCTACATTTCCGAAAGCAGGCAGAGATAAAAGAAATATTCTGCCGGCGCTAATTTTCGCCGGGCTATTCGACATGGCGCTGATCAAAATGAGACCTTGCATTGTCTTGCCTGGTAAGCGGTACCACTCAATCATATAACAGGATATTCCGACGCTAGTACTCTATAGCAAATAATATATATCTATAGCAATATCTCTATAGTAAATAATAAATTATAAACGAAATTGATTAATAAATTTTCATAGTGACTAGTACTTTGTTATATTGAGAAGATTGAGATATTACAAAATACCTTTTCCATTAGAAGATTGCCAATATAGCATAGCAACATCATATTAACCGTGAATCCTATTAGTAGCATCGAATATGTTGCCAGACCAATTTTATTATTGTGTTGTAAATCCTACTAATAACATAAAAATACCATAAACTCCTAGGAACACAAATCAGAAGCAGCAAGAACGTACCGTTATACAAAGGTATTGGAGCGAGCATATTAGCAACGTGGTACCAATAAAATCGAAAAAGCACACTTCCTGCAGAACCGTCTCAATCATTGCAGAAAATCTACAATAGTACGCGATATGTTTTTGGTCAGTATTAAGCAACGTTTTACTTTACCTTCGTACTTTAAAATTCTTATGTGATGTTTTACGATTTCCATCAGCCGAGTGTCCGGGTTAGAACTTTTCTTGGAGAATGTTCCATCGACCAGATCATCTAATTGAGATATAACGACATCAATCTGTCCACAGGCGTGTGTTGCGAACAGCGCAGCCAGCCCACAACACCCAACTGTCACAGAGATGCACGTAAATGCGTATATGCATTGGAAAACGTACACGATTTCGTATACGGGACTTTTTTGGATGTCGAAAAGTCCACTATATGTAGGATACACTAATATTCTGAGGGTACGATTATTTTCCTTCAGGCTCATTCTCATTCCATACTGCATGATGGTAGTATAGCACATGCCTGCGCTGTACATGAACACGGCACTGTATATGGTCAGATCTCGACCAATTTTTCCATATTTTAGCATAAGCATACGATTTCTTTGAAACTCTACCTGTCAAATGATTTTTACATCTTTTATATAAAAAAACAGTCGTACTGAATCACATTTATAAGTGACTGGTCCAGAGAAAACGTGGTGCTAGTGATACAATTTTAATTTACGACAACTGTGAATAAAATTACATCTTAATACAGAAAACTGCGTGCTTCTAGACAGTAAAATACTTTACTACACATGCAATGGGTACGAAAAACATTTTTCACGCCACGCCGTTGTATATTAAATTTCGTTTTCGTATATTTTCATACGACTACAAAGATATGATATTACGAAATTGAAATATTATATATAATCATATTATATATTAAAATTTTCACTGAAACTCATAAAAAGTCTTCTAGACAAATATGTAGATTACGTATTTTTTCTTTCTGTGTTTTTATGTAAAATACACTTACACTGCCAGCCGTAAGTATATATTAGGATATTTGCCTTATACATAAAAAAATATGATATTTGATACAAATTGTGTGCTTATCATTATTTCTATTTTCCAATTATTTCATAATTTTTGAATAATTCCATATTCCATAAACTTCTTATTTCGTTCATACCATATATCCCCTATGATGTAACATATTAAATATCGTAAAATGTGATAAAGTTTTCTAACAAATGTACAAACAAGTGAGTATCCTGATACTTAGAACCGGCAATGTCTATCATTTTTCCACTGAGTAATTCACATACACTTGCTCGACTGACCTGTTTCCAATCTGTCTGCATCCATTTGATACAGTATTCGATATCCGGTTTGCGCGCTATCAGAGCCCAATACTTCATCAGGTTGATTAAAGAATACCAAGCCAAGGAACAGAACCTCAGTCTCAATAAAGGATTCTTTTCTTCCAATACAATGTATAGCACACACTGTACTATGATGAAAGATGGCATAAGATTACTGAATCCGATTACGAGTTTTGGCAAAAATTTACTCATGCCTTTTAACACAGTGGGCCATATTCCGATGCAATTCAGAATCCATTTATTGTGTTTCGTCACGTAAATAATGTCTTCCTTGTAATTTGGATTTCGCGATTGATCGGTCTGACTTCGAATGGAGGGATACATATTCGTGAACAGATTGTAAACGACTGTTTACGATAGTTCAGGTGCATCGATTGTAAGGGCGATGAGTTTGCGCCCGGGATATCGCGTGCGTGCATTTCACGTAGCAATTCAAAATCGATTATTACTCATCAATGTAGCGAAAGTCTGTAATTGTAATGAATAGCTAACTGGTAACGGGTATAGAATCTAACTTTCTGCCTAGGCTAGGGAGAGGGTCTTAATCTTCCGAAGTTACACAACATATTTGATTATAAGAGACAATTGTGGAACACTGAAATTTCCAATGCCACGAAACTAACAATGAAAGTAAGCATGCACATATCTTTCATTAAAAATTATATAGGTATTACAGGTTACGTAATACTGAAAGAAGCAATAATTCAAAAAATAGTGTATTTATGAAAATAGAGTTATTTTAATTGTATTTTTTCGTAAAACTACTTTAAATTAATCTTGATTCCATACCTGAGCTTATCGGTTTTCGTGGATTTCAGTAATGTTAGATCTAATATATGATATTTCTTTTCTCATTTCTTCGTTTATGTTAATAATGTTTTCAATCTTTATATTAGTTATTGGCTCACACAAATATGATGGTAAAAACTGTAACAGGATGTTTAATGCCCTTGTGAAGATAGTTTGGTATTTCTTGTGGGCAAAAATCCAACATTTCTCATCGTCTTGAAAGTGCGATCTGTTGACAAGCTAATCAATTTTTCTTCTTCTGTGTAACAAAAACTTGTAATTAACTGCGCTAAATGGATTTTATAACAGGTCATAATTCTTTATATCTAAAGAAGGGAGATAACTTGTATTTTTCTCTTTCAATAGCGTTAAAAGTTTTAGTGGTAATAGTTCCCTCGACATTTTTAGTTGCGAAGCGGAAGCAGAACGAAGCGGAAGAATCATATCTCTTGTATTTTTTTATAATATGTGATTTATCCAAAGAGTTACTTGTTTCTGAAATGGTATTTGTAAGTGGATGTCGAAATATTTTGATTCTTCGCTTGGATATTTATATTGGCGCTATTTAACTAATTAAAGATATCTGTTAAATCGTTATTTTAATACACTGAGTATCATTTGTATGAGATTTTACAAAATCATCTGCACCTTCATTTCGAAAAGAAGTCAACAATTCAGTCTTAAGTTTTACAATTTGGCATAGCACTTTAATTCTAGATAACCATTTTACTTCGGTGTGCAAAGCAAATATTCGTATTCAATTTCCATAGATATAGAAAGCTTTTTAAAAAGCATGTTTTTAATGGTCTTGACGTAATATAAATTACAATATTTACTACTTGATCTAATGCAGATTTTTAACTGTCTAATAATGTATATTTTAATACTGTATATGTTTTTACAGTATATTTCTTTATTCAATATTCTACAACTGAATACAAGAAAATAACAGAATAATTGTGAAATTAGTACATAATGGTATTCCGGACGAAATTTAAGTACGCGAATGACGTTTTTAGAACCTGCAAAGATAAAGTTACATTTATTTACCGCTAAATGAAATTCGATTTGTATAAATTTTGAACATGCAAATCATAAACAAAATATTTTTAAAAACCTACATTTCCGAAAGTGGTTAAGGATAAGAGAAATATCCTACCGGCGCTAATTTTCGCCGGACTATTCGACATGGCAATGATTAAGATGAGATCTTGAACTGTCTTGACTGGTAAGCGATACCAGTCTATCATGTAGCAGGATATTCCGACGCTAGTACTCTGTAGTATAAATGACGAATAACAAGTGAAATTGATTAATACATTTTTGTACATTGATTACTTTGCTATATTGAAGAAAGTTGAGTATTACAAAATACCTTTTCTATTAGAAGATTGCCAATGTAGCATAACAAGAACATGTTGAACGTCAAGGATACTAGTAGCATCGAGTACGTTGTCAAACCAATTTTATTATTTTGTTGCCAATCCTACTAAAGACATAAAAATACCATAAACTTCTAGAAATACAAACCAGCAACAACAAGAACGTACCGTTATACAGTAGTATTCGAGCAAGCATATTACAAACGTGGAACCAACGAATTCGAAAAAACACACCTCTTGCAGAACCGTCTCAATCACCGCAGAAAATCTACAATAGTTTGCGATATGTGTTTGGTCAGTATCAAGCAACGTTTTACTTTACCTTCGTACTTTAAAATTCTTATGTGATGTTTTACGATTTCCATCAGTCGAGTGTTCGGATCAGAATTTTTCTTGGCGAATTTTCCTTCAACCAGATCATTTAATTGAGATATGACGACATCAATCTGTCCACAGGCATGTGTTACAAAAAGTGCGGCTAATCCACAACACCCAACTGTCACAGAGTTGAACACAAATGTGCACATACATTGGAGAACGTACACGATTTCGTAAATGGGGCTTTTCTGAGCATCGAAAAATCCACTATACGTAGGGTACACTAACACTCTGATCGTACGATTATTTGCCTTTAGGCTCATTCCCATTGCATACTGCATGATCGTAACGTAGCATATGCCAGCACTATACATGAACACGGCACTATATATGGTCAGATCTCTGCCGATCTTTCCGTATTTTAGCATCAGCATGCGATTTTTTTGAAACTCTACCTGTCAAATGATTTTTACATTTTTACAAACAACACTATAAGTGAGTTGTTTGGAGGAATGGTGCAAGCGACAAGATTCTAATTTGGGAAAGTTGTGGGAAGAGTTACATTTAAATACATACATACTATGTACTTCTAGACAGTAAAATACTATACGTTTATCGGCGCAGTGTCTCCAAAAGTATTTGCATACCATTATATATATTATAACATTTACATATTAGTTAATTAGAACTAAGTATATTAAGTTTCGCGTCATAATATTACGTATTTTCATATACTTACAGAAATTTGATTCTACGAAAATGACATATACAGAACATGATAAAGAACACTTCATAATATATGCGTATAATTTGTAGTTTAATATGCCTCACATAAATAAAGGTGCGTGCAAGTACTCTTTGTAGCTAATTGTAACTATAAAAGTTTGGAAGTTTCCGAAAAAAATTTCGTATATCACGTATTGCTTCTTTCTGTAGCTATTTGTCTTTTTTTTTTAATACAAAGTGATTGCTAGCCATAAATATTAAGACATCTGCGTTATGTTTAAAAAAATGTGATATTTGATATAAATTGTGTGCTTCTCATTATTTTTATTCTACAGTCATCACATATTTTTGTATTTCATAATTCCATATTCTGTAAACCTTATTTTACTCACATCATATGTGCCTTATAAAGTAAAATATTAAATTAAATAAAATGTGCTAGGATTTCTAATAAATGGTGTAACAAGTGAGTATTCTAATACTGATAAGTAGCAGTGTCCATCATTTTTCCATTGATGCTTCGTTCTTTTATTCTTTGCTCGACTGACCTGTTTCCAATCTGTCTGCACCTGTTTGATACAGTATTCGATGTTCGGTTTGCGCACTATAACAGCCCAATACTTCAACAGGTTGATTGAAGCAAAGCAAGCCAATCCCAAGAGCCTCAGTCGTAATAAAGCATCTTTTTCCTCTAATATAATGTGTAGTATACACTGCACAACCGTAAAAAGCGATACCAAATTACTGAATCCGATTATGATTTTTGGTAAAAATTTGTCGATGCCTTCTGCCACAACGGGCCACATCCCGATGGAATTCAAAACCCATTTGTTGTGTTTCGTCACGTAATCAATATCTTCTTCGTACTTCGTGTTTTGCGGTGGATCTGTCTGACGTCGAACGGAGAGATGCATATTCGCGGACAGGTGGAAAACGACTGTTTACGACAGTTCAGGAGCATCGATTGTAAGAGCGATGAGTTTGCGCCCGGGATATCGCGTGCGTGCATTTCACGTAGTAATTCAAAATCGATTATTACTCATCAATGTAGCGAACGTCTGTAATTATAGTGAATAACTAACTGGTAACGGGTATAGAATCTAACTTTCTGTCTAGACCAGAGGCCTGAATCTTTCGAAGGTACAGAACATATTTGATTATAAGAGACATTTGTGGAACACTGAAATCGCGAATGCCACGAAACTAACAATAAAAGTAAGCATGTACATATCTTTCATTAAAAATTATATAGGTATTACAGGTTACGTAATACTGAAGAAAGCAATAATTTAAAAAATAGTGTATTTATAGACTTATTTTAATTGTATTTTTTCGTAAAACTACTTTAAATTAATCTTGATTCCATACCTGAGCTTATGTCATTTTAACACAATAATATTGTTTGTCAGATATTTTACAAAATTATCTCCACTCTTACGTACGGTCCGGAATGATCACTGACTCGAAAACATCTCATACCGTAGTACCAGCACCGACACATTTTGTAACTTAGTATCAAAGCCTTGCGTTAAATAGTATTTCGCAACACCAGCAAAATCTTACTTCTGTTGCTAGCTACTGTTCCAAAACGCAGAATGCAGACCGATATAAAAACCATCGCGTGACCAACGGAAAGAGTTCTTTAGTTCGTTTCTTCATTCATAAAGCATCAAACATAAGGCAGTGCATAACTTGTATACATCTGTCTAGTATCGAATTTGTTAAGAACTTACATCTGGAAACCCAAGTTCTCGACCTTCGTCTTTGTTAACCTGAACCACTGTATCCGGATATCGAATTAAGAGGATTGGCATGTTTTATTATAAAGTGGCGTTTCTACTTAGCAGGAACGATTATGGTGTTGGGTAATGTTTCTCCACATGTAAGAAGCTATGATTGTTGATTGTACGTAGACATAAAAAATGATGAATAAATATAATACATATAATATATATACGTAAATATTTCGTCATGACTTCACAAACAAACACATTGTAATACGTTGTCATTTTCTGCGATCTTCTACCTGGATAAGCTATTATCAAAATCACTGTACATATTTATCAAAATGTTATGTATCAGTATCAAAGTAAAAAAATAATGTACACTATACAATATATATTTAACTAGCAAAGAATACTTTCATAATACGTTTATTTATTTACTTTTCTATGATTAGACATATGAAATTAATAGAATAATTGTGAAATTAGTAGATAATGGTATTCCGAATGAAATTTAAATACGCGAACGATGTCTTTAGAACCTAAAAAGATAAAATTATATTTAATCACCTAAAGATAAAAAGTTCGATTTACATAAAATTTGAACATGCAAATCATAGATGTAACGTTTATAAAAACCTACATTCCCAAAAGTAGGCAGAGATAAAATAAATATTCTGGCGGCGCTAATTTTCGCCGGACTATTCGACATAGCGATGATCAATATGAGATCTTGAACTGTCTTGATAGGTAAGCGGTACCAGTCAATCATATAGCAGGATATTCCGACGCTAGTACTCTGTAGCATAAATGAGGAATAACAAGTAAAATTGATAAAAACATTTTTGTACATTGATTACTTTGCTATATTGAAAAGAGTTGAATATTACAAAATACCTTATCTATTAGAAGATTGCCAATGTAGCATAACAAGAACATGTTGAACGTCAAGGATAGTAGTAGCATCGAGTAAGTTGCCAGACCAATGTTATCGTTCTGTTGCCAATCCTACTAAAGATATAAGAATATCATAAATTCCTAGAAATACAAACCAGCAGCGACAAGAACGTACCGTTATACAATAGTATTCGAGCAAGCATATTACAAACGTGGAACCAACGAATTCGAAAAAGCACACTTCCTGCAGAACCGTTTCAATCATCGCAGAAAATCTACAATAGTACGCGATATGTGTTTGGTCAGTATCAAGCTACGTTTTACTTTACCTTCGTACTTTAAAATTCTTATGTGATGTTTTACGATTTCCATCAGTCGAGTGTTCGGATTAGAATTTTTCTCGGAGAATTTTCCTTCAACCAGATCATCTAATTGAGATATGACGATATCAATCTGTCCACAGGCATGTGTTGCAAAAAGTGCAGCCAATCCACAACACCCAACTGTTACGGAGTTAAACAAAAATGTGCACATGCATTGAAGAACGTATACAATTTCATAGACAGGGCTTTTTTGAGCATCGAAAAATCCACTATATGTAGGATACACTAACAGTCTGATTGTACGATTATTTTCTTTCATATTCAATCCCATTGCATACTGCATGACTGTAACGTAGCATATCTCAGCGCTATACATGAACACGGCACTGTATATGGTCAGATCTCGTCCCACCTTTCCGTATTTTAACATCAGTATGCGATTTCTTTGGATTTCTACCTGTCAAATAATTTTTACAATTTTTTTTATAAATAATACTACTGAGTCATGTTTATAAATAAGTGATTGAGAGAAAAATTTTAATTTGGGGAAATTGTGAGTAAAGTCACATTTTATCACAGAAACCAGTATGTTTCTGGACTTTACAGTGTTGTTAGAGTTAACAGTTTTATTATATGTACAGTGTTTACAACAGTATTTGCATCCCATTTTATATATTATAACATTTACATACAGATTAATTGGATTTGAGTATATTAAATTCCGTATCATAGTACTACGTATTTTTAAAAAATGAAATATGTAGAATGTGATAAAAATGCTCCATAATATGCGAGTGTAGTTTACAATATAATACAGTATAACATAAAGAAGGATTTGTGCAAACATTCTTTATAGCCATTTGTAGTTTTAATATTTTGAGAACTCGTAAAATTTTTTCTAGGTAAATATGTTTATCACGTATCTTTTCTTTCTGTAAGGTATTTATCTTGCTTTTACACAAAATACGTGTACACTGCCAGCCACAAGTATTAGGATACTTGCGTTGTATACAGGGTAGTTGGTAACTGGTGGTACAAGCGGAAAGGAGGTGATTCTACGCGAAAAAAGAAGTCGAAAATATAGAATAAACATTTTTAAAAATTTTTTTCGTTTTTTTAAATTTTTCCATCGAGTGAGATCCGTTATAACGTATCCCACGCGTTCCGAGCGAGAGTTCAAAGTCGATTTTCTCGAAAACAAAGCCTCAAACGAAAAATTTTTATTGTATATTTTCGACTTCTTTTTTCGCGTAGAATCACCCCCTTTCCGCTTGTACCACCAGTTACCAACCATCCTGTATAAAAAATGTGATATGTGGTATAAATTATGAGCTCCTCGTGCTATTTATTTTGCACTTATTTTATTTTTCTAACATGTTTTCTAATAAGTGTATACCAAGTGGGTATCCTAATACCTATAACCAGGAGAGTTTCTCTTTTCCATTGAGCCCTTCACATATACTTGCGCGACTGACCTGCTTCCAATCTGTATGCACTTGCTCGATACAATATTCGATATTCGTTTTGCGTGCTATCAAAGCCCAATACTTCATCAGGTTGATTGAAGCGAAGCAAGCCAAGCCTAAGAGTCTCAGTCGTAGTAAAGGATCGTTTTCTTCCAATGTAATGTATAGCACACACTGCACTACGTTGAGAAACGATACGATATTACTGAGACCGATTACGACTTTTGGTATAAATTTGCCAATCCCTTTTAACACAGCAGGCCACATCCCGATGGAATTCAGGACCCATTTGTTGTGTTTCGTCACGTAAACGATATCTTCTTCGTAGTTTGTGTTTTGCGGTGGATCTGTCCGACGTCGAACGGACGGATGCATATTCGCGGACAGGTGGAAAACGACTGTTTACGATAGTTCAGGTGCATCGATTGTAAGGGCGTTGAGCTTGCGCTCATGATATCGCGTGCGTGCATTTCTTGTAGTACTTCCAAATCGATTTTTACTTATGAATGTAGCGAACGTCTGTAATTGTGAAAATAGGCGGTAGTGTTCTCAGCTATACGATCTAACTTTCTGTCTAGACATAAGTGGAGTAGGTTAGACCATAAATGCACGACGATTAGCAGCTGCTAATCTTATGAAAACACAATGTCATGTGCGTGGTATGTATGTTCGTGTAAAATAACAATATATACATATGAGTAATTTATTAATGTAATACCATGCAATTTGTTTACTTTCTCTTTTGTTAGAAAATGTTGTTTGAAAAAGGTAACATATATTTTGTAATTTCTTTGTACCATAATACCTCACTATTAATTTAATTATCTAATCACTGCTAGTTAATTTTGCGCGATATTATTAAATATTGCTTTCTTTTACATGAAAATAGGCTGTGACATTTTGTGTTATGTGGATATAGTAAATTACTGTGTCTGTGGTTTGTTGTCATACAATGTTTATGTGGCATTGTGTAATTAAATACGATTAATAAAATATGTTGTCTTTACCTTGGTAATTTTTTATGATTTCATACATTAGTACGATTTAGTATATCGTCATTTTCTATAATCTCCTGCTTGGTCAATCTATCGTCAAAATCACTGTATGTTTATCATAATGTTATTTATCGTTACCGAAGTTAATAATAATGTATACTCTATAATGTACATTTAGGTAGCAACAAACATTTTTACAATATATTTCTTTATTTACTATTCCATAAGTGAATATACGAAAATAACGGAATAATTATTAAATCATTACATAGTGGCATTCCGAACAAAGTTTAAGTACGCGAATGATGTTTTTAGAATCTGCAAAAACGAAGTTAGATTTAGTCACCGGTAGATTAAACGGTTGATTTGTGTAAATTTTGAACAGGCAAAACATGAAGCAAATATTTGAAAAAACCTACATTTCCGAAAGTAGGCAAGGATAAAAGAAATATTCTGCCGGCGCTAATTTTCACCGGATTATTCGACATAGCGATGATCAACATAAGATCTTGAACTGTTTTGACTGGTAA